AAACAACATTTTATGTTCTAAAAAGAGATGATCTGCAGGTGAAACTGGTGAAATTTAGGGAATGCTGGTGAAACTGGTGAAACTAAATATAACAGCTAATGAAAAACTCAAATTGAAATTATGGTGAAACTCAAAATTAGTTTCACATGCCACTTATTTGCTGGTTTAATTGATTTCGGACTATTTTTGCCACCAATTCGTTGAAATGATTGAAACCATTGAATTTTACTTATGGTGGGTGATCGAACTATGTAGCTATTATTGGTATTATTCGTATTGCTACAAAATGTGTGTTAGCGCTTAAGGTTTTTATAAGAAACAGAGTGAGCGAATATTATTGTAAAGCAGCATATCGTTATGAGAAAGGAAATGGAGTTAGAAAGAACGAACAAAAGGCTTTCGAACTTTACATGAAAGCTGCTGATATGGACTATGCCGAAGGAACATTTGAAGTTGGTAATTATTATGAGAGGGGAATCGTAGTTAAAAAAGATAAAAGTAAAGCGGGCGAATATTATTGTAAGGCAGCATATCTGTATGCGAGTGAAAATGGAGGCAAAAAGGACGAACAAAAAGCCCTCGAATTTTATATGAAAGCTGCCGACATGGACAATACCGAAGGAGCATTTAATGTTGGTAATTATTATGAGAAAGGAATTGTAGTTAAAAAGGATGAACACATAGCATTTAATTATTTTAGGAGAGCTGCCGATATGGACCATGTAGAAGGAACATTTAAAGTTTGTAATTATTATCAAAGAGGAATTGTAGTTGCAAAAGATAAAAATAAAGCGGGGGTATATTATTATAAAGTAGCATGTTGGTATGAGAGAGGAAATAGAGTCAAAAAAGACGAACAAAAGGCCTTTGAATTTTATAGGAAGGCAGCTGATATAAACCATGCAGAGGGAACATTCAAAGTTGGTAATTATTATGAGAGAGGAATTGGAGTTAAAAAAGATAAATACAAAGCGAGCGAATATTATTATAAAGTGGCATGTTGGTATGAGATAGGAAATGGAGTTGAAAAAGATGAACAAAAGGCCTTTGAACTTTATATGAAAGCTGCTAATATGGACTATATTGAAGGAATACTTAAAGTTGGTAATTATTATGAGAGCGGGGTCTTAGTTGAAAAAGATAAATACATAGCGTTTAAGTATTTTAAGAAAGCTGCCGATATGAACAATGACGAGGGGATATTTAAAGTTGGTAATTATTATGAGAGAGGAATTGTAGTTAAAAAGGATGAATTCACAGCGTTTAGGTATTTTAGGAAAGCAGCTGATATGGACCATGCTGGAGGAATGTTTAAAGCTGGTAATTATTACGAAAGGGGAATCACAGCTAAAAAAGATAAAAATAAAGCAGGAGAATATTATTTTAAGTTAGCATGTTGGCATGAGAAAAACAATGGAGTCAAAAAGGATGAACAAAAGGTCTTTGAACTTTACAGGAAAGCTGCTGATATGGACCATGCCGAAGGAATATTTAAAGTTGGTAGCTATTACGAAAGAGGAATCATAGTTGAAAAGGATGAATGCATGGCATTTAATTATTTTATAAGAGCTGCTGATATGGATCATGACGAAGGAATATTTAAAGTTATTGATTATTATAAGAGAGGAATCATAGTTGAAAAAGATAATAATAAAGCAAGCGAATCTTGTTATAAGGTAGCATGTTGGTATGAGAGAGGAAATAAAGTCAAAAAAGACGAACAAAAGGCCTTTGAATTTTACAGGAAAGCTTCTGATATGGACCATGCCGAAGGAACATTTAAAGTTGGTTATTATTATGAAAGAGGAATCGGAATTAAAAAAGATAAAAATAAAGCAGGCGAATATTATTATAAAGCAGCATATTTGTATGAAAGAGAATATGGCAATAAAAAGGACAAACAAAGGGTCTTCGAACTTTACATGAAAGCTGCTGATATAGGCCATGCTGAAGGAGCATTTGAAATTGGTAATTATTATGAAAAAGGGACTGTAGTTGAAAAAGATGAACGCATGGCATTTAATTATTTTAGGAGAGCTGCTGATATGGACAATGCAAAAGGAACATTTAAAGTTGGTAATTATTATGAGAGAGGAATCATAGTTAATAAAGATAAAAATAAAGCCGCCGAATATTATTATAAGGCAGCATATCAGTATGAAAGAGAGAATGGAGGAAAAAAGGACGAACAAAAAGCCTTCGAACTTTACATGAAAGCTGCTGATATGGACCATGCCGAAGGAACATTTAAAATTGGTAATTCTTATGAGAGAGGAACCGTAGTTAAAAAAGATAAAAATAAAGCAGGAGAATATTATTATAAGGCAGCATATTTGTATGAGAGAGCAAATAGAGGCAAGAAGGACGAACAAAAAGCCTTCGAACTTTACATGAAAGCTGCTAGTATGGACAATGCCGAAGGAATATTTAAAGTTGGTAATTATTATGAGAAAGGAATCGTAGTTGAAAAGGATGAACGCATGGCATTTAATTATTTTAGGAAAGCTGCCGACATGGGCCACACCGAAGGAACATTTAAAGTTTGTAATTACTATGAAAGAGGAATTGTAGATAAAACTAAAGCGGGTGAATATTATTATAAAATAGCATATTGGTACGAGGGAGGAAATAGAGTCAAACAAGATGAACAAATGGCCTTTGAATTTTATAGAAAAGCAGCTGATATAAACCATGCAGAGGGAACATTTAAAGTTGGGAATTATTATGAGAGAGGAATTGGAGTTAAAAAAGATAAAAACAAAGCGAGCGAATATTATTATAAAGTGGCATGTTGGTATGAGATAGGGAATGGAGTTGAAAAAGATGAACAAAAGGCCTTCGAACTTTACTTGAAAGCTGCTAATATGGAATATGTTGAAGGAATACTTAAAGTTGGTAATTATTATGAGAGAGGGGTCTTAGTTGAAAAGGATAAATACATAGCGTTTAAGTATTTTAGGAAAGCTGCCGATATGAACCATGCAGAAGGGATATTTAAAGTTGGCAATTATTATGAGCGAGGAATTGTAGTTAAAAAGGATGAATGCACGGCGTTTAAGTATTTTAAGAAAGCAGCTGATACGGATCATGCTGGTGGAATGTTTAAAGTTGGTAATTATTACGAAAAAGGAATCGGAATTAAAAAAGATAAAAATAAAGCAGGCGAATATTATTTTAAGGTAGCACATTGGTATGAGAAAGAAAATGGAGTTAAACAGGATGAACAAAAGGTCTTTGAACTTTACAAAAAAGCTGCTGATATGGACCATGCCGAAGGAATATTTAAAGTTGGTAGCTATTACGAAAGAGGAATCGTAGTTGAAAAGGATGAATGCATGGCATTTAATTATTTTAGAAGAGCTGCTGATATGGACCATAACGAAGGAATATTTAAAGTTATTGAATATTATGAGAGAGGAATCGTAGTTGAAAAAGATAAAAATAAAGCAAGCGAATATTATTATAAGGTAGCATGTTGGTATGAGAGAGGAAATAAAGTCAAAAAAGACGAACAAAAGGCCTTTGAATTTTACAGGAAAGCTGCTGATATGGACCATGCAGAAGGAACATTTAAAGTTGGTAATTATTATGAAAGGGGAATCATAATTAAAAAAGATAAAAATAAAGCAGGCGAATATTATTATAAAGCAGCATACTGGTATGAAAAAGGAAATAGAGTCAAAAAAGACGAACAAAAGGCCTTTGAACTTTACAGGAAAGCTGCTGATATGGACCATGCCGAAGGAACATTTAAGGTTGTTAATTATTATGGAAGAAGAATCGATGTCAAAAAGGATAATAAAGCGAGAAAATATTATTGTAAAGCAGCATATTATTATGAACACGGAACTGAAGTCGATAAAAACGAATGTAAAATATTTGAATATTATTGCGAAGCTGCGAATTTGAATGATGTTGTTGGAATGTCACAAGTTGCTCGTTGTTATCGAAATGGAATTGGAGTAGAAAGAGATTTAAAAAAATCGAATTATTGGTACTTGAGGTAAAATTAATTATTTTAAGTTAATTATATATTTGCTTATTTATTCTAATATCAAATTAATAAAATAATTAGAGTGAGAAATTCTATAACAGGTAACTTGTATTATTTTAATGATTAAATTAATTATATTTTGGAAAAGTATTTAATTTATTTTATGATAGATGTGTATAAATATAAATATACGTTTGTTGAAAATAAATTTCGAATACCATGGATTCCTTATAGTGAATTTGAAGATATTAAAGAAATAGGAAAGGGCGGCTTTTCGACTGTGTATTGTGCGGGTTGGCGTGATGAAAGTAGAAATTTAGATATATCAGTAGCTCTCAAAATTCTTGATTTTGGTAGTTTTAGGAAATTTAACGAGGAGTTGAAAATGTATTGTGAAATCGGAGAAATGAATCCATCCTTTCTAAAATGTTATGGAATATCAAAAAACGGTGAAGGAAAATATATTCTTGTTTTGGAATATGCCCAAAAGAAGTCTTTGAGTAAAAATCTTAACGATGTAGTACGACTAGAGTGGGAAAAAAAGTTGAAGTTACTACATTGTGTAATTGCAGATCTCGAATCAGTTCATTCACAAGGATATGTTCACCGGGATCTACATAGCGGTAATATTTTACAAGATGGTATAGATAACGCATATCTTGCGGATTTAGGTCTTACATCATCTGTCAAAAATGAAAGTGAAGTTGTTGGTGTACTGCCTTATATTGCTCCTGAAATTTTACAAAGAAAATCGTTCACGCAAGCTTCTGATATTTACAGTTTCGGAGTCATCATGACTGAAATATCAACAGGACAAAGGCCTTTTAATGGATACAATTTCGATGTTGCACTTGCTGTAAAAATTTGTAAGGGATTGCATCCAGAATGTGCGCCTGGCACACCAAAATTCTACGCTGAATTAGCTATGATGTGCATGGATCCTGAACCACAAAAACGACCTGCCGCAAGTAATATTTTAAATATAATTGATGAATGGATTAAAAATATGAAAAATTCAGATTTAATAAATAAGGATGGTCGTGATAACGATAAAATTATCGAATTATCAACCGTCCCGCAAATGCATCCAGATCATAAGTATACCTCAAAGCCCATAAATACGCAAGAGATAGCAGCTGTACTTCAAAGTTTAGAGATCACCCAGGAAATTAAACCGAGTGAGAAAATTGGTTCTGTAGATATTCCTTACGTGTGATTTTTTTTCTTATTTAATACGGACCCATGGGTGATTTAATCTTAATTTGCAATTATCGGAAATTTTGATATTTAAAGAAATAATATGGTTTAGGATATTTTCTTTTTTTAAAAAAAGATAGAAGTATTATGATATAGTTTATGAAGTTTCCAATCGTTTAACATGAAAATAATTCTGGCCCAAGAGTGGCATAATTCGTCCAGAACTATAGAATTATTTTAAGAGCCAATCCTCACTCAAGTATAATATTAAAAAATTTTTCATTAGCTTAATAATATAAAATATTAAAATTTGAGATGATGATAATGTACATAGTACTAACACTGGTAAAAATCAAAAAGTTCGACTATTATCCGGAAAACTCTTATCATGAATTGCCATCTGTCTTATTTTTTTCACGTAATCATGTTTATTCAAATTAAAATTTAGCCGATAACTCTCTATCAATCATGATCATAAATTGAGGATAACACCAATACTGGCGAATTCGATAATTTAGCTCAACCGGGCAAATTATTGGCACACGTACCGCAAGTGACACGTGATCATTGCCTTGGTTTTCTTATTCGACAAATTGGCCAGTATTGTATGCATCTTCGACCAAAATTATCGAATGTTGATGGCCGAATATTTGCCAATCATTAGTTGAATAGTATATCGAATGGTATCATTCGATATGTCGAATGTTTTAATTTTTACCAGTGTAAAAATTAAAAATTTAGAGATATTGTAATGAATTTGAAACTATTTTTTATAGCTTTTTTATAACCTTATATAACTTTTTTTAACTTTTTTAACTTGAATTATTTTTTGTTCAAGACTAAGCTTTTATGCAGCTCTTTAGCTTCTTTGTTTTACAATCTTGACCCTGTTTTTTGTTGATATAATTTAAAAATGCATAACATCTTCATTTGAGCACAATATATACATATAAACCCTTTAAGAAATCACAGCACGGATACACGGTAAATACGAACAACACTAAATTGCATGTAAATATATTCGAGACGGTACAGTACATCCAAAAATCACCAAGAAAATGTGTATCAGGTTGGGATCGGATGACCTTCCAGAAAGATAGATCGAAATGATAAGAATATTCGGAATAATATGTATGATAGTATAGTTTTATTAATTACGAATGATTTTAAGAAAAACTATTGAAGGACGTGTAACTTGTATTAAAAAATCTTTTTACAATTGTAAAGTTGCTGTTATAATGTGGATGAATAGTCTGATTTCTTTACAACGCGAGTTATTTCACTACAAAGCTAAATTATAAACGAAATCATTCAGTGTTGTCAATTTTTTGTTCTATTGATAAAAATTGTATTCTATTCTAAATTCTATTGATAAAAATTGTATTCTATTCTAAATTCTATTGTTCTATTCTATTGTTCTATTGTTCTATTTGTTTTTT